ATGGTCCATATTTCCTCTCGACGGTTGATACGTTCGTGGACAGTAAAACTGTTAATGAGCTGTAAAGACACTCAGTAACTTTCGGTTGACCCTTTGCGGACGAGAATTTTTTAAACTTTTAAAAACCTTTTTCATAAAAAAGCTGAGTTATGCAACGCAGTCCTAAATACTAGAAAAAAAACTGCATATCAATCTCTCGTTATTTGCATAATCAAATTATTAACTTGCAGCTTTCGAATTTAGGTACCAAAACTCGAAGTCTTCAGTATGACGGCATTCGACCGCAAATAGTTAAAGTGCCTAATAATTTTAAAAAATTGAGGTTGCATAGAATTAAATGCATGATAATGTGACTTATAAATTTGAATGTTACAACATTCGTAGAATTTTGCATCGCAATGAACATTAATCCTCCAGCATTCGCATGGAACGTGTTAATTTCTCTCGCCACGCGAAATGACAAAGTCACAGTCACGATGACTTACTCGCGTGACTAACGGCGAACGTGTTCAATCAACGTTCGCCGCGGCGTTTCGAGAAGTCTCGAGGGAAACAGTGGGAATTCCTGAAGCGATGCGTCCCGTATGATAATCCATCGATGACTTTCGTGACGGCGATACATTGCTATTCCGCTCGGTCTGGTTTAATGTTCTCCAAGATGGCGTCTGGTCGAATGACACACTTATTCGCCGCGGATCGAGGAGGATCGTTTGTTGCCTGACCTTTCCTCTTCCACGATAACCCTGCCGCCATAGATCCCATCGATCCGGAGAACGTCCGGGGCTGAGTACAGGCGCGTGTTAACCCTTTACACTCGTATGTCATGCTGCAGATGACAATACAAATTTATTATAGAACGTTAAAAATTATTTGAAAAGGTACCACACTTTAGAAGATTATAAAAACTCAACCTTATTATGATAATAATAAGTAAAATAAATATAAAAGTAAAAGTAAACACAAGCTTGCACCCAACAACAGTGAAAATAAATCGAGTACAAAGGGTTAATTCTATACAGACAAATGTCGACATTTCAGCGAGATGAAATTTTCGTATTTGGAAGATTAACAGAGAAAGGTATCGAACCCGGAAATTGAAGTGCAAGTAGAGTCATTCAAGGTTGGCACATTGCAATTTTGTTCTCGTGCCGAATTTCAATTTGAAGGGGTGGAGCCACCCCTTGAAAAAATGCAAACGTTCCTTTTCCGTGGATTATCTTCAGAACAGCAGGAGATAGCGAAAAGAAGTTTCAACGAAAAACACATTGTTCTTTCGCGTCTATAGAGTTGCAAAATAGAATTTTTCAAAATTTTATTTTAAAATTTTATAAACGTGCAAAACAATTTATTTTTCGTTTAGACCTTTTTTTTAAACATTTCTTCGATTAATTCCAATCGAAAGCTTGAATAACTTTCAGCTGAGCATCTCTGATTTATCCAGTAAACTTTACATTTAGAGCGAAGATACGAATCGGTTAATCGCGGCGACGAGTATTGAAATCAGTTAGAAAGCTCATAGGTATCGCGTGCCAACGAATAACGAAAGAATTATGCTGGACGCGCTTCTCCGGCGATTTCCATTAGAAATCCAGTAGCCGCGGTGCTTGAACCGGCGAAGAGGATCGCCGGCGTACACCGAGCAACGCGTTCGAGTCGCGCTTCGGTTCTGGAGGTACGGTTTTTACGTCTTCCAATTACGCCGTGACTATTCCGCGGAGACTTACTGATGTTGGTAAGAACATTACAGAGCATTAATTTTTACTATTATTATTATATTATATTATATTATATTGCGTAATATTAAATAATATACTATGGTATTATAAATTTATTTATCATGTTTATTTAGTTTTTGTTTGTTGGAATGAAGTATTGTGAATCGGAAATTAAATTTTTATATTGTATTGTGTTGTGTGACGTAGTATAATATAATATGGTATGATATATAATAATATAATATATGATATGATATGATATGATATAATTGAATAGAATAGAATAGAATAGAATAGAATAGAATAGAATAGAATGTACCTAAATTAGTATTACAAGTTCACTACAAATTTTCATTTTATTTCGTTCATTTATCCGCAATAAAAAGTATTAAGAACTACAAATTAAATAAGATAATCCAAGAATCAACGAAATATTTCATCACAGAAATTCAAAAACCTTCCCAAAGCAGAAGCAAAAAAGCAACATTACCAAGTGAACGTGTTAAAAAGGGAAACCTTTAAATTCGGTTCCCAATGCAAAAAGCAAACATGGAAAAATCGATGTAATCACGTGCATAAAGAACGAACTGAGTACTTTATCACCGAGATTCAAAAACCTTCGCAAAGTAGAGGTAAAAAGCAATGTTGTTAAGCGCACGAGGTTAAAAAAGGAACTGTTCCGTCGAGAAACGCTCCCCCGCGCGATAAACGGAAATCCGTAAAAGCTCGAGCCGTTCAGTCCGTCGTTCGAGCAGAAAAAAAAGAAGAAAATGAATGTCCGCCGATACGCGTCGCGTGTGCCGGCCGACTCGAGAGATCAGAATTCGGCATAGCTTCAGGATAAGCCGGTATGCCGGGTTATATTCAGCGGGCACCGTATATTTGTGCACGCACATGCCAGCTAAGCAAGTATAAACCGCGGATACTTTCACTCGGCGAGTAGTCGGTTCGTTGCTTGCCAGCAATGGATCGGAGGTCAGTGCACCGGTGACCACAGTCCATGCTCGTATCCGCGGCCACGAAACCACCGCAACATCGTGCACCGTCGATGCCGCTCGAAAATCGAACCCTCATTAACCCTTTGCGGACGAGAATTTTTCAAACCTTTAAAAACCCTTCCCATCAGAAATTGAATGACGTATGGAAACTGTAGATATCAGAAAAAAAGAACGAGGATTCTTCAAACCTTTAAAAACCCTTTCCATCAGAAATTGTATGATGTATGGAAATTTTAAGTATCAGAAAAAAGAACGAGAATCTTTCAAATCTTTAAAATTTCTTTCCGTCAAAGATTGAATGATGTATCGAAATCTTAATCTCTAATCTCTTTTCTTTAAATTCAGATGCACGGTCCTATTTTGATCTAGCGTATAAATATTTGTGACATATTCGTTATTCAGATTACTTTAATTTTCAATATGAAAATTCTTTCTTACTCCTCCTAACTTTTCCTGTTACATATTTTCACATCGCATCATTACTATTAGGTACCGCAAAAAATTCGTGCGATTTTTTTTTGTTAGCAATGAATTGAGGTCTGATTTCAATGAATACTTCAGTAGTTTAATTAATGAAATTGGTATTAGCAACAAGTTGTGTTTATGCCGTTGGTATCAAATAAAATTAAATAAAATTAAAATTATTTTATAAAAACGTTCTCTGTGTTCAAATTTCCATTTAAGAACCCGCACGAACTTTTTCCGGTATCTAATATTAACACTGGTATTTTTAACGAATTAATCGAGTTAATTAACACACCCAGTATAAGACAGAAACCGTAACGCGATGACAGCAGCGTGAAACGGATTTCAAATGACATTGCGCATCTACAAGCGACTTCATCACCCCGTTAGATGGTCACGGGACGGAAGTACGTCAATGGCAGAACTCGCGTTACCGTTTGTTCACAAACTGACAACGGTATAGTCACACACAGTCAGCAGAGTGTTTCGAGATCGTTCCTAGGTACGCTGACCCCCGCGACAATCGCAGATGTCCTCCGCATTACACGAATTTCCTCCTGTCCTTGACTTAGCACTTTGAAACCTAAGATAGGGAACAAATGAAATAATGGGAAGTTTCTATACTTCTACCATAATATATGTTTAACCCTTTGTACTCGAGAGATAACTCTCAGTCACCACTTGATTTTTCTATGTAATTACATATTTATTAAATTATTGACTCTATCGAATGGAAATAATATACGAATCAACAGAACATTTTGATTTAAATATTTTTTATTACACACTTAAGATGGAGAACAAACGAAATAATGAGAACTTTCTGTATTTCTGCTGAGGTGTATGTTTAACTCTTTGCACTTGAGTGATGACTCTCAGCCACCTGATTTAATATAGCAAAATTATAAAGTCTTATATGCAATATTAAGCGTTGCATAATGCGTTGATATGTGAAATTTAATTTAAATATAGAATTTGAATTCGAAAAGCTTTGTTCCTTAATTTATGTATGTTCTCTTATTAGTTAGTTTCGAAAACTGTCGTCTATATCTCAGTGGATAATGTTGGATATTTCTATATAGCGAAGAAATTTAGTAGAAAAGAGTATCCTGTATGTAGGACATTAAAATGGTCGCAATTTTGGCACTTAAAAAAGATCGTTCTGGGGTTTCTAGTTTTTATTCTTGATCTATAAATAATTGCAATATATTTAAGAATACTAAAAGAAAATTATAAAACTTTAAATCCCTCTAATATGACTAATAGTAATTGCTGGTAATGTTGATAAGATAAACACTTCTTATCGCCTTCGTTTATTTTTTAATCTTTAGATTAAGAAGTTGCAATCTCGGAAATGGCAGCTATCAGAAAGACATACTTACAGTTACCAATCTTTCTATAAATTCATTATCATTAACTCCACAGAATTCTCTGCTCAATTCGCCATCTGCCCGGCAGGCTCAACAACAGCCTATTCTGCACACAATCGTGCTTTCATTACGGCGGTCATGATTAAACCATAAATCATATGATTAGATCGCGACACTGGTCACATCCCTACGTAAACTACCGTAATCAAGAAATTCCATTTAAATAAATTTCATCGATCATACGAATAGTCTTGACCCTTCAGATTCTATTTCTATAAGGTAAATGTACCAATAACCAGCTAATTAAGGTTACATAAATATTTATATGCATATATAAGTATGTTTGTATTTGTAACATAATAATGATATTATTTATAACGTATAATATAATAAATAGTTTATAATATCCTTATATTATATATAATATACAATAAGAAATAATGACAATAAAAAAGTATTACACAATATACCTTATAGTCTTAACTGGTTTAGTTATCAACATCTTTACCTTAACACTTAGGCAACCGCCTGAGAAGAAACTATGTAACTATAACCTTTTTCATTAACTTTAATTGAACTCAATCAATAGAATTCATTAAAATCTCCAGTTTGAAGTTTACTGAATAATAGGAAAGTAAACAAAATAAATGGGAATGCATTGCCGATGGAAAACTGGGAGATCTCCCCATTTAGTTGGTTATGTAGGTGTTAACACATTGACTGCCACAGCGGTCACCAGTGACCGGAGCTTCCAAATAACGAGGAAATGATTATACCTTAGCAGCGGCCGCAACACCGCGCGGCTATGCTTGTGTCATCTCACAAACGCGCTCACATAAACAGAATTCAATTTAGTGGTAACAAAAGTTTTTCGCGATTACCTCAGAAACTAAATGTCAACGACATTTTGTTCAAAGGAAAAAGTTGTTCAAAATATGCATTTCTCGCAATATTTCATAGTTTCATTAAAATCGGTTACAAACAAGATTTACTAAGATATTAACGAGGAAATAATTATGACTTGTAAGATAACTGATGAAAAAAAATGTTCTGCAGCGTGAATAACTTGATAATAATGTAACGCAAGAATTGTGGTACCGAATAATGAATAATTCTTCCTCTTTAGCTTTGCTACGGAAATAATAAGAGAAACATGAAACGCTGGTGTTTTTCGTGGCAGCGTGTTAACACTAGAACTAACCGAACGGGTCAAAATGACCGATTCCTGATTTCTTCTTTTTGCGATTATTAAGAACATAACAGATTCTTCTCTGAGAAGTGATTAAAGAAATTGATTTGGCAATACCCAAACTGAATTGTAAATCAATTAAAGCTTCAATAGCTGTACTTTTGTAGTTTCTATAGAGGAAATTCAAAAAGTCAATTTCGGTGCTTGGTAGTTCTAGTGTTAACAAACAAATAAATCTCAAATAATCCGACACCTTGTATCCGAGCCCAACCGCCTAGCCGTCCATCTATCCACGTCAAACATTCATTTCCGTTGAACACAGCTCAATCAATGAAACGGGCGAGCATCATTACCCAGTTGTCTCGTCCCATTTTCAATCCGCTTCGGAACAGTCATTCCGCAGATCCTTTTGCCGCGACGGTGAATCGCGGAACACCGATTCGGAAGGCCATACCAGGCATAATTGGAAAACGGATCCGCTCCTCGCGTTCCGCTCGTCTTCCCTGAGAAAATACCCATGCCATGTGACTGGGCTCGCCCGTGTGAATGGTTACGGTTTAGAGATTAACCTGGCCGCCGTGCTTCTACACGCGCGTAAACGAAAGCTCGGGCCAGATAAAACGCATTCGAGGCGTCGGCGTTGCCGGTAGGACGAGCCTAGAGAAAACCCCGTTATCTCTAAAATGCTAATTCCCTGTAGGAAACAGCACCGTGCAACAGATATGATCGGTTTCTCTCCTGATTTTCGTCGGCTGCTGGCTTTATCAATCCTCGCGAGATCTACGTTCTTTCTTTCCATCTCTTGCCTTTCTATTTTTTTTTGTTACAGTTCGGTGTGGACGGGCATGACACATTTCTTTATTAACCCCTTGTCTTATGATTTGTTTCTCAACTGTGGTTATTACAACTTTCTCGTCAATTATTTATTTAAAACAGGGATAAGTTCTGTGCGTATTCTATGTCGAGCTTTACTCTAAAATATAATAATTGATAACGGATAATATTTCATTTGAATTCACAATAATGGAGTAATATTTATGTTTATTAAATTCTGTTTAAAATCTTCACCGCGAGTCCCAAACGTTATTGTAAGACAAGAGGTTAACGCTTATTCACGATAAACATATGGACATGCATGTATTTACGATTGTTTACGCATTTACCTTGTAGCTGTTTCTTTTCTCTTGCTTCTCTATTTTTCTGTTACGGTTGGACGTGGATGATCGCGACATCTCTGTTCATTGACACTCATGTACGCTAACAACGCGGTCTTCTGTGCGTATAATTGAATCCACTTAACTGAATGGCCCAGATCTATGAACAGTTCATTTCCTGAATTCATACAAGTGAAAACAATTGAATGTTTCTCTCGGAAAGAAATGGGAGACCAAGAAATAACAATTATAGAACCGATATAGCACCGATATAATAATAATTATGACTGTATGTCGGTTCTCCATAACTGTTTCAGTCGGAACCGATATACAACAGTTCGAAACAGTTATTTTAGGAAAACAACTTGCACTATCCCAGCCGCGAAACTATTAAATCCACTATATCCTAACATTTCCACTGATTTCCACCTGAAATTCTATTCACGATTCGCGAACGATGGGAAACATGTCTAAGCTTCTACCGAGAGATTAACGATCTAAAGCTAGGAATGGTACTTTCATCGAGGATCGATGACGAGCGTGTGAGAAATCACGATCACACACGTGGATACCCAGGTTACTCGAACCTCCGGGCACTCGGGTAAAGAAGAAGGTCGCGCGGGTCAACAAATTTTCTAGACGTCCGCTTTCCCTGTATGGTCCGGTCTGGCAACCTTGCTAGAAAGACTCTTCGCAGGTTTTCACCGCGGTTCGCCCTTTCACGAGCACACACGTTGCGAAGTACTCTTGCAGTGCAGCTCTCACATCTTGAACAAGGTCCACCAAGTTAAAAGTGCAGAAGGGCAAGAGGAAGACGCCACTCCCGATGATCGTTGCCCTAATTATAGCAACGTTGACGCCCCGATTTGGACTCATTTTTATTATTGGCCGAGTCACGTAAACGAAGAGCGCAAATGAAACAGAATACGACAAAGTGAAATATAACGGTGGAAAATGAACATGGACGTAATGGCGTTGAAGAAGGAAGGAATTAAAAAAAATAGGAGAGAAGGAGAGAGCGTTTCGTTGGGGATCGACCAGTGGACTTAATCGATAAGATTTTCTGGTAGACCTGTGTCTTAGACAAGGGGTGCGTGTTTTGTTTAATCAGGCGATGCCTGATTGGTTACTTAACTACCGGATGGATCAAAATGACCCATTCCTGATTTCATGTTTTTCAGTTATTCGACAGATAACAGATGCTTCTTTGAGAAAGTACTAAGGAAACTGGTTTAGCAATACACAAACTGAATCGCAAACCAACTGAAGTCTCAATGATTGCACTGTTCAGGTTTCTACAGAACAATTTCGAAAAGACAATTTAACTCCTCGGTAGTTCTAGTGTTAAAAGAGGAGAAAAAGAATTGCCTCCGGTATGTTCCCGTAAAATTCTGAAATAATGTAAAAGAAATAACCGTGAAGTAAAGGTTAGGTAGCAGCAAGTAGATATAGTAGGTATAAAGCAAGAAGTAGCAGGAAAATTTTCAAAAATCCTGTATTCAGAAATGTTGGAGGTTTTCGGAATGTATGCGTTACGGGCAATACGATAAAGCGGGAGTTTTACATAAATTCCCTGGTGATTATGTATAATTATTCTCCAATACTTATTAGCAATTATGCATAATTGCCGGGGGGGTTTGTATAATTCCTGGATTAATCGAATTTACCGTAACATATATATATATATACAAATCGGTAATGACAGAGCAGGAAGGATAAAAGGCTTTTAGATCTCGTAGCCCTCTATTGGCAGAGTGTAGGAAGCTGCCGCTACAGCATCTCACTGTACCGTATTCTGTTTCATTTGCGTTCTTCGTTTACGCGACTCGGTCGATAACAAAAATGAGTTGAAAAGCGGTCGTTTTCCCCTTGTCCCTTTGCATTTTTAACACATTGAATGCCACGAGGGCGACTGATGACCCCCAACCAAATCCAATTACTATGGTTCATTCAATTAAACGACGATTATCTAGGAACATTTCTATATTACAAATAATGCTAGCTAATGCGGTGACATTCAGCTCGATGAATATGCAATAATAATAATGCAATTAAATCGAATGATTTACCCCTAATCGAACCACGATGTGACTTTGAGTCACATATGAACTTTTTATTCTCATAAGTGACTAAGAGTCACATCGTGGTATGATACGTTATAAAAACACGTGGTACGATTAGGGTTGACATTAAATTCTTTCCGTTTTATATATTGTGTTCTATGAAATCGTGCGGCATTCAACGTGTTAACTTGTAGGAGCTTGCTCAAGCGTGAGAGCTGTATTATACGTACATACGAATGGTCTCGTTGGAACGGCACCGGAGAGATTTCTCGCGCGCCTTCCGCGACCCCGGTTACGCGTAATTGATGGCCGATCGCCGGGGAATCCCATGACCAGCTTACCGCAGTGAAACTCATTTTCGTTTCGACTGGTTTCCAGGCTCCACGGCTCGTACGAGGCGCTCAAGTATGGCACCCTCTTGGACGGGCTGTCTGATCTCACGGGGGGAATCACGGAGAGCATCGCGATACGCCAGGACCCGACCGCCTGCGGGAGGGCACTCGCGAAACTTCTCGATATGACGTCCCTAATCACCTGTACAGTAAATAACAATCAGCAGCAGGTAAGATGGCTTCGTATTCTGAACGTGATCTTGTTTATTAACTCTTTGCGGACGAATGTCGGCATTCTAGCAAGATGAAATTGTTATATTTGGAAAGCTAAGTCGCGAACAAATGATTGAATTAGTCAAACAACAAGAGATCAGCATGTAGTTTTTTTCCTGTTAATTAAGCAATGGTGTATTATTTATCTTAATCTGCTGAAGGTTTCGTATATTTCAAAGAATCTTCGTCCGCAGGGTTAACATATTGCCGATCGCTAATGTTTTGCTAACATTTTCTACGGTACCGGTAATTTTAATCATATACAATTATTTTAGAAGGCGTGTAACGAATCTGCGATAATTTTTTGAGATTAATATATATTTGAATGAACCTTTTCTTGTTTAGACATTAGTAAGTTTAAAATTTTGTTTGTACGTGCTATTTGGTAAAATAGTTGCCTTTGTGGAATGGTACGTTACGAAAATTACAGATGTGCCGCCCATTGAAAACAACGAACGATTTTCAGTCTTGAGCCATAAGTTAACATTAGATATCCGAAATGATTTGAAAAATAAACACTTTTAATTTCAATGTTATAATTAATATATGAAGAAATCGAAAAAAAATCTATTGTTATAATTTTTATAAGGATTACATATTATATTTCTCGCCTATCGCTTGGCTAGACTGAGGAATGTAGGTCTAGTTGGTCAGTTTTTGCCTTCAGTCATCTCGTTTGCGATACTAATTTGCTATTCGTCAATATGGACACGTAACCAGTCGAAACTGCAATAAAAACTGACGACAGTGCTGCGATACTCAACCCGTGCACCCTCGGGTTGGCGCGGCCCTGCTTGAAACTTATATAATCTCGCAAGACAGTAATACTATTTAACGCGAGCAGCGTATTAGATATCCATGGTTTACGTTACTAATTAATTTTCCACCCTGACCAAATAGAACTACGTAAGTACCTTTCAGGTGGCCTCTATCTATCGACTCGCGAAGATACTCGCTAGGATCGAAAAAGATTAATTTGATCCACTCGGAATCATATGATAAAAACTAATCGATTTCATGGAGGATGCGAATTAGATGTCAGCCTAAGATTAAGAGGATCAAATTCGTCCGAAGTGAATCTTGCATACTAGAATCAGGCTGTCTGTTTACTGAAATGATTAACTCTGCGAAATAAGAAGCAAAAAAGTTTAATTAAATTACACGTGTAAAGAACCATTTAAGTATTTCAGTATTAAAATTTGAAAAAAAAATGTAGATAATGGAGTTAGTCGTTTTGGCCTGTAAATGGAGCAATTAATGCTTGAATTGAATACGGTCGGAGTCTGATTTGTAGCACGCAAGGGTGAATCTTGAATACCTATGCTTGCTTAGAACAGAACTTACAATCGTAACACAGTTCGAGGATTTATCTTCGAAACACTTTGAAATAGTTTAAGTCTGAAGTTCTGATTTTGGCAATTAAATCTAAGACCTAAAGGTCTACACTCCAAGGTCCATTAAAAAGAAATTGATTCCTAGACCAAGATTCTCTGCAAACTTTTCAGGTCTAAATATGAGCCTATAGTTATATATTGATTTTGAACATTTCCCTTTAAATAGAAAATCAAATAATCACCGTGGAATGTATTTTACTTTATTATTACAGGTATAGTTTAAATCTTTTGAACATGTAAAATGCATAAAATAGTATATCCTTGAAGCCATTTTTATTATTATTGCAATTGTTACACGGGAAAAGCCTTTTTATTATTTCGCGGTACCAAACTCAATGCTAATAACATTTATTTTAAATCTAAACAGTTAAGAACCAATGAAACGTTTTAATGATGAAGTCTTTAAAAAACCGAAAAATGGATAATTTTAACTCTCAAGTACGCGCGACAACTAAGAAAGAGTTTTGTTCGTTGAAATTGATCATTCATTCGAGTAATCGTTTCAATTCATTCTAACCCAGATTCGCGCCAGCACGGAAAAACTCGCCAATGGCATCCAAATGGGCATCAATTACAGACTCTACGCTATTGTAAGGGTGAGTATGACGAAAAATAGCATACCCAAATATACGAAGTTTATGAAGAAATATATGAAGTTTCTCGAACGAAACTGCAAAATGTTTGTTTTGTTTGTTTATTTATTTTTATTGCCCTTTCTTTTCGTATCCTTTCATATTACATTCACCTTCCATTCAATGTAAATTTTCAAATTTTACATACAGTTAAATAAAATATTTCTTCATTTCAATGTAAAGTTTCAAATTTTGCACGTAATTAAATAGAATGAATATGATATGACACCTTTTCGAAAATAACTGTGTTACCGCCGTTCTGTATAAATTCATACTATACACGTGTAGCGGAGTGCCCAACCGAAAAAATGTTTTTTTCTCGTTCGTGAAACTATTTAGATGTTCTGCGATTGTCCCCATTCGTGTGCCATGATGTATCATTGCGTAAAATGCAGGTGGAGACATTCAGTGGCGAGGCAGTCCCGTTAGTAAAATTAAGAAATCCTCTTGGTCCTGGTGGGGAGTACGTCGGTGCTTGGGCAAGAGGTGGCCTCGAATGGGATGAAATACCGCCGATGGAAAGGGAACGTTTAGCGGTCAGAAACATGGCCGAGGGGGAATTCTGGTGAGTTAAACGAATTTTTTTTTAACGCTATCTACGCCCTTCCACGCACACTGCACTACTTAACACATTGTACGCCGGCTGATTTGCAGCTACTAGAAACAGGAGCGTCGATGATTATATTAATATATTTTTAAACATCAATCAAACCAAAATTTGTAATTTATTAAAAAGAATAAGGAATTCGATTTTGTAATCTTATTTTAGATTTATGTTATACATATCTAAAATGTTAAATGTAGCAATTAAATGATAGACTAAAAATCTCGCATTATTGCGGGGCCGGCGCACAATGTGATTGTCCGGTGAAAATGAAGAAAATCTAATTGCTGCAAATTTCCGACGGTAAAACGTCAAGGGTCAGAAATTCGAGAATTTGTTTTGAAGTATTAGTCTTTTAACGATCTGTTGTTTGAAACGAAGAACAGAACTTGAAGAAACGTGAATTCACGTCAACGGTCGCGAACGTGTTAACACGTTGACCGTCACGGTGATGATCTTCCAAATCGTTTAAAAACAATTGAAAGAAGGAACCTGATGTCAAATGAAAATATTTGTAACATAAGTAGCTGAATAATAGTGGAACTTAACACTATTCTTGATATTAAATACAATTTAACAAGCATGAATATTACTCAATTCTTTTAAATTCAAATTAAATATGATTCTCCTGTTATCACTTACTATACAGAACAAATATAAACATGGAATATACCTAGAATTTTTCTGTTTTTTCAGTAAATCATCAATAACAGAATAGTCGTATCGATAATAGTTTAGAAATAAATTATAGATCAATGTTGTTAACATACAAAAGTGAAAACTATAAATTGATATGTGAAAGCGAAATATATAAGTCAATAGTAAAAATAGTCAAATAGGGCGAAAATTATTCTTCTTAATTTTACTGTTATCCTTGTACAGTCGAAGCAATACAAGTTAGTACGTCTGACTATTGAATACCACTACCACTAGCACCGGAATTTCGCAACGAACATATGATTTATCTCCTCTAAACTCTATTGCTCAGCTTAATTATTGGTCCACAGTGTATTCTCACGGTGCTAAATCGCATGACGCCGGTGCAGGTACATAAAAACATTCTTAAAAACGTTTCAACTTCCCCTACCGATCGAAAGGGAGTACCTATACGCGTATGCCCGTTCAATAAATTTCAATTGCCGTAATAAATTCGCTATTCCATTAAACCGACGCACCGTTGAATTATTGAAATAATTGAATATCGTGTATCGTCTCTGTGTTCCCCTTTAATTATTTCCGACTTCGGTGAACAACAGGAGATGATCGTTTGGAGATGTCGCGGCTGAAGGGTTGAGATTGAAGGAAATTAAGAAAGGCTCTTCTGTGGTCAGTAAAAATGAATAAAAATGAATAAAAATTCATTTGCGCAGGATTTCTTACTCAGACTTCGTGAGAACGTTCACTCACCTGGAAGTCGTGCATCTCGACGCCGAAACGTCGAGGGACGAGCCGTCGTTGCATAGCAAGCACACTTGGCAAATGAAACTCTATCAAGGCAGCTGGAGGAGAGGCGTTACCGCGGGAGGATGTCGAAACAATCAAGGTTCGTTTTACGGTCTGCTTCAATCAAATCGACGCTGGAAGCTTCGATATTACGGGGCTGTAAACGTTCGCCAAAGCAAAAGTTTAACCCCTTAGAACCTGATTTTTATATAGAATTATGTTCACTTACCTAATAACAATGGACAGCCATTCAATGCATCATCAGTAACGTTACACTTATACTTCAGGAAAGGTGCAACACCGTTTTTTAAGGTTTCTTGCGTATAAGAGTAGAAATGCAATGGCGTATAATGAACATGATTGCTCCCCAATTATGTCAAGATTCAACATTAAAGCGCTTGAACATTGAAGAGTCATCAATGAATCGCCACTATCACATAACATTTTGAACAACAAGATAGACTGTCTTGAACTGATCAATCAAATAAAATTAAATATATCAAATCATTCCCTCAGACACGATCCTCTATTGAATACACCGAATTATAAATCTAGATTTGGCAATACTAACATCATCAATAGGATGTGCACTACTGCAAATAAATGCAGTGACTAGATAGATTTTTTCTATGATAAGTTGAAATGCCTGTCACAGTTTTAATATTTGATCAGATATCGAAGCAGTAAAACAGTGTACATTATAATGTGCGCGTCGGGTCTGAAAGGGTTGATGCTGAGTTTACGGACGTTTATTGTATACTTTATTCTATTATTCCTAGAAAAATTGATTCGTTTAGATCTTGGAAATCAGAGATAGATAGATCATTGGAATGCATATTCGTGCTATTGCATCAATCAAAATCGATGTAAACCCCTAGTGCTAATCTAACATCGGCAACCAATGCATTCCTGTTGTAGAAACTTTCCACATCAACCCGCAGTTGCACCTGATTCTTAGCGAGATGGAGGAAGTGATTGTTTCGTTGAACCAACATTCCATCATGGAACCAAAAGTAAGAGGTTCTTACAATATCGTAGATACAAAGGACTGTTTAACAAAGCAGTGTTTTTGGATTTGAACTTTAACATGTTGACTGCCATGGTGGTCACCGATAAACCAGTTCAATTATATTGCATGGACAAGTACAATTAAAAATGATGTTCTTTTATTTGTAACTTTAATTCTTGTCGATTACTTTGCAAGAAAGTAATTAAAATTTATTTAGAAATCAAATCTGTTCTGATCCTTTTATGGCCATTTGAATATATATAATTCTGACATATGAAGATATGAAGGCTTAGACGTTTATTTTCTGAGAATATTCATTGATTGATATTCTGTTTAAGGTCATAGGCTTTACAGCATACACATTGCCGAAGAACAACACGGAGTCCATAAACAGAAAATTTTTCAAGAAAAATAAGTCATTGGTGAACTCGCAGTACACGAACAGCCGGCAAGTGAGCCACAGGTGTCAATTAGAACAAGGCGGTTATTTGTTAGTGCCGACCACCTTCGAGCCCACGCAGGAAACAAGTTTCACATTGCGAGTGTACAGTAGTAAGCCCTTGGAACTCAAGTAAGTGCAAAAACATGATCATCGGACTCTAGCTTAATACTATAATATTAATTTATAATATAATATTTTTATTTTCATCATATTTATAATATAATAACATAATGTATAATATTATCCAAAGTCGATTAAAAATTCTACACATTGTAAAAGGTATTTTAAATAAGTATTTTAAACGCGAGCGAAATTGTTACTTTTACTCTTTGCATTCAAAAGTTCATACTTATATATATTTATTATTTTCTAATAAAATATTGATTACACTTTTCATTTATTAAACAGAAATAATTAAATAGAACCAATAGATAGAACTATCATATTTTAATATTTTATGTCTAGTCACATTATATAATATATGATATTATATCAAACCAAATGGCGACAGTGAATCGTCTCTTGAGTGCGAAGGGTTAATAATAAACTGTTCCAGTATTTAGCAAAAATTTACTAAATACGACAATCAAGTTTAGAAAAATGAAAACAAATTTCTATCGTGGATACATTAAAATTGATGCTAAACTGATTAAAATTCCATCAGACTTTTGGATACACCGCCGTCCTTGATGAAGTCGGCCATCGTGAAAGCACCACCCCTTGAAGGCAAGGGTTTCTCGCAGTATGAAGCAGTTTTCCTGCAACTCGCCGATGAACACAGAACAGTGAACGCTTTTGAACTACAAGAGCTTCTCGAGGCTTGTTTACCGAACGGTAAGGAAACAATGAACCCATTACAGGTTTAAAAATGCAACTCAAATGATTAATTTAAAAAAATTGCATGAATCTTAAAATAATGTACGTCGAGTTAATTGTAATTTAAAAATCATAAATTTTTTGTTTTAATATCAATTTTTATATAATGCGTTAATGTATGAAGCGTTACAATAAAATAGCTTTGACCCTTGAATTAAGTGCGATTTCTCGTTAAAATTAGCTTGAAAATATTATCGTAATATTACGGTTGTTCCTGAAATGCAAATATGTATTTGATTATTGTATTTCATTCACAGACTACATCAAAAGCTGCGCTTGCATGGAAGTTTGTCGACAAGTGGTCCTCACAATGGACGTATCCTTGGGATTAATTTCAATATTTAGAATTTTACGTTTTACAATCATGTGCAACTTACTAAGCTTGAACTATAAAAACACTATAAAAAATGCAAATTGTTTTTGGTCAGTGATGATTTGCACATAAATCATATCATATACATATGGGACTATAATATATTAGATCTACCGGAAACTTCTGTTCGTTTTTTAATTAAAAGAAAATAATATATTTTTAATACGTTTATTAATATTTATTGTACAATATCATTTGTTTCGTTACTAATGACCTCTCCCCAGCGTAATGGTAATTTGTGGATTCCATTTCTGTAGAATGGCTCATCTTTGGAGACTCGAGATGACATTAACAGATTGAACTTTCCCATTATATCTAATATTATCAACCCTATTGTACCTTATTATTAATTCTTTGTAGCCAAACGCCACCATAATGGCGACTTCGAGCTTCGACATCGATAGTTATTCTTTTTATTTCTCTCGATTTTCCTTAAATTAATATTGAACAGAGCTCTGGTAGCGGTCGGTTAAAGTTCAACGATTTCAAGGATCTCATGTGCAGTTTGAAGTACTGGCAAGCTGCATTCAAGAAACACACTAAAGAGAAGACTGGTATCCTTAAGGCTGAACGTTTACGCGACGCCTTGCTGGAAGTTGGTAGGTTGACGAGCGGTATATCCACGTCGTGTTAAAATATGTACAAACAAAAGGAGTTCGAATGAAAGAAAGATTGCTTTAATTAGGATTTCAATTGAACACGGACGTGCTATCAATTTTAATTCTACGATACATGAGAAAGGATGGGACGCTCAGATTCGGTGATTTCGTCTCAGCGATATTGCACTTGAGTGACGCGTTCGGTATGCAAATCAATTTCCATGCTTTTATAATAAAAAGGATAAATAATTTCAATAATTGTATCAATTAATATTTTTTATTATAATTTCAGGAATATTCGAGAGTAAAGATCCCTTGCAGAATGGAACTATAAAATTAAGCCTAGCAGAGGTATATATTTATTTATTTTTTATTTAACATGTAGGTGTACCAATAAACATTCTATTTTTTAAAGTTACAATTGATTATAGAAAATTTGCTAGAGAGTGTTATTAAAAGATAAAGAACATTGGTACTTCTAGTGATTCAGTTACGTAAAAAAAATATCTGTGTAATTGATTTTTTTGTTTTTTTCCAGTGGCTGAGATCGTCCTTGATGTGTTAAATCAATCGACCGACGCGATGTTAATGTACCTTGAAACAAATATCTGTAAATAATGTTTTTTATGTCGTATGTAGATTTAAGTTATAGCCATATTAACGGTTAATGATCGAGCCCATCGTTTTATTGCTGTTTGTAAAATAATGTCATTTTTACTTTCATTAGCGATCATCATTCCATCATCCGATAAAACATTCTAAAATAACTATGTATAATATGTTGTTTGTATAAGAAATTCGTACTGGATAATAAATTTATCGTTATTTTGTACAGCCCCCTTATCCGAGACCCGCATAAGTAGTTATATCTAATTAATGTCTAATAAAGAAATAGATTTTAAAGTGTAATTTATTAATAAATATGCAAATTCATGTATGTGTATATATACATATATATACATATATATATTAATTCACAAAGAATTACATAAGAATTTATTTAATTTCTTTCAACTTCGCCGAAGTTGAATGAAATCCTTATTATTTATTATTTTATTAGCGTTATACAGTTTTATACATATACAAATATATTTAATCTGCAATTGACTTATTAAATAGACAAATCGAGGCGTGCATGAAACAGAATTGTGAGCATTACACCTAAAAACAGGAAATAAAATTTATTCCCAAACAATAATAATTATGGAAATTTTTGTTATCCCTTTGCAAATTAAATATATTTAACGTGAAAGTGTGAATTCACGTAAACCATCGCGAAAAAGCACGTGCACCAAGCAATGACGGGCAAGAATAGATTCACGTAAAATCTCATGCGCATGGGTGTGTGAAAGCGTTCACTTGACCATTGAATAGTCGATATTTTTAAACTTAATGAATACTATTGCTAATGTGGTTACGAAAACGCACACGAACTATTCATTTTACAGTTCTTGCAAGGTGATGAAAAACAGTAATCGGTTGAATCGTGTCATACCACATCTAATGACGTGGATATAGGTTAGGTTCTACATAGTGGTGGAATAGTTACCTAAATCTTTTCGAAACATTATTGTTAAAGTAATTTAAAAACTTGACACTGCAAATAAATAAAAAATAATGTTTGAAATCACAGATACACAGAGTAAGTTATTCGCAATTTTATGGCTTGCAAAGAAATATAGTAATCTATTGAAAATTTCATACAGTATGATAATCGAAAACGTGAGTCAACTTCAAATATTGTGACAATATTATAATTTTAGAGATTGGAGTAGGACTCGCTGGTTTTGGAATATCATTTCTTTTCCTTGGCGTATTATTACTTTTCGATAAGGGTTTGCTTGCTATTGGAAACGTAAGAATTTTTCATATGTATTTTTGTAAGCCTTAACAGTTTGCATTACTGTACATTTTTAATTGATGTATTGTTCGTACACAGATTCTATTTATATCTGGATTGGCATGTGTTATCGGTCCAAAGAGAACTCTAAATTTCTTTTTCCAAAGACATAAGATAAAAGCCAGCATCTCGTTCTTAGGAGGCATTATTGTTGTACTTCTTGGTTTTCCCATCATTGGAATGATCATAGAAACATATGGTTTTGTATTATTATTCAGGTATGTAACTGCCAATTGTTTGATAATTTAAATGTATATATAATTATGTATTTATATAATGTTTATAAAGTTTCATTTTTATCTTTATTATTACAGTGGTTTTCTACCAGTTGCAATAAACTTTTTACGAAGATTACCTGTATTAGGTACTATTTTAAATATGCCTGGTCTTAGTCGAATTTTAGACATGATTGCAGGAGATTCTAACAGAACGACCGTATGATGCGTTTCTTAAAATTACTGCTCAAAGAATGTATATAAGATTGAATGCTGTATATTGTGTCCCAAGATTTTCTGTCATTCCTTACTAGTGTTTTGTGGATCTCTTTTGTACTGTGTAAATATCAAAAATAGGTAACACAACTCGCTTATATATGTATCGATCATTCAACTTAATGTTAAAGTTATATAGAAATAATATATAGATTTTTCATTTTCGTATAAGACAAGCGTATTGAAAAGATTGTATGTGTGTAAAAGCATTCTAAAAACTTCAAGTGTAAGCAGGATGAGAAATGAAAGTTAAACAGGAAAACATTTCCTTGAAATCATTCATTTGCTGCATCAGTAAATTAATGATATTATGAGTTGAAGTTTTGTGCTTTTTATTTTGAGTGTTTGTACTAAGAAATCAATGAATGAACTGTATGACATAATGTCTAGTGTATGCTGAATGTAATTATTCTAAAAGAAAATATACCATTTTACTACACAAGAGTTGATTAAGTACATTTGTTGTTCACGTTTTTTCAATGAATGAAATGTGTAATTTATTTCACTATGTATACATATTTTAATAAGATTACGCTATATTGGCTGAAGGGACAAAGGAACAATGCATATATGACATTTTAGATCACTTTTATTGATTCTGCTGTTTCTTTTGCATGCATCCTAACATGAACAGATTAGATGCATACGTACGGAGTAACGGTTCTCATTATCTTACACGTAGTTGTTGTAGTGCGAAATTAAATTACTGTTCATTGAAACTCGATGAACATTACTGATATCATGATCGTTTATTAATTATCTACAACGGGCCGAGAATATGGGCGGGGGGTGGCCCAAGTCTACGCGTCCCGCCATCGCCGTAATGACATTTCGTCGCGCGTCCTTCCCTCGCTCAATTAGATGTATACGTTCACTTTTTTGTTAGGTAATTATTTTCACTACTTAGTGATCCAACCATCATCTACGTAGCCACATGTATTAAATGTTTCATATACTCATAATGATGTTAATCCACATCTTTCATTCGATAGATATATTATAAATATATCTTATCTCTCCTCTATCTCCTCCTCCTCCGTTTTTATGAAAGTGGAATATGAAAATAGCACATGTGAACTGCTGTTAGGAAATACTGAATCCGGCAATAAATTAAGCGAATTTTCTTCTACAATCAAGATACGTATTCTGCCGAGTTTCATGCATTTCACAGGTTACTACCAAAACTCCTCAGTCTGGATTCTTTTTTTTCTTAGTTCTTTAATATCTCGACAGTTTGTTTAGTATTTCTCGACGGTGATTGTGGGAATCACTCAATCTCATGACTGCTTTCAAATCGGATGGTGAGGATAATAAAGATGGTACTTTTGTAATTGTGATTGTGAAAGTAATGAGTTAATGATCATTTTAACAATTTAAAGGAGTTTCTTAATTTCATCATAAAGTACCAATACGAGCGCACCACCGGTACCACGGAGAACGTTGGAGAAAGCTCCCTTGAAGAAAGCATTACCACCTTCTGATTTGTAGATAGTGGACCAACAGTGAAGAGTGCTCTTATACAAAATTTCAGATTTGGCGCGACCGGACTGCATCATCATACGCCTACGTACTGTGTCAAATGGATAAGATACAATACCGGCAACAGTCGTTACAGCCTGTGGAAAAAAATACAATAATTATTAATAGATAAATTATAATTGTACACATAAACTTGAGATAGAAGAGATTACTTACTTGAGCAATACCCCATGAAACTACAAATGGTGTTTTCTTGGGGTCTGGCAGCATACCACGGGCAGTGTCATAGAAACCAAAGTAGGCTGCACGGTAGATAATGATACCCTGGACGGATACACCAAATCCACGGTACAGACCAACAATACCGTCAGCCTTGAAAATCTTAGACAAGCAATTACCAAGACCTGTAAATTCACGTTCTCCTCCAGCTTTGCCTACATCAGCAGCCAACCTAGAAGTAATCGTTTTTTGTAATTATTTCACAAAATTCTTGTGACCTGTTATTAATTTTGAAACTTATATTAAAATTAATACAATTTTCAGTCTAAAGACAATACCTAGTTCTGGCAAAGTCGAGCGGGTAGACAAAACATAGAGATGTAGCACCAGCAGCACCACCAGAGGCAAGATTACCAAGGAAGTAGCGCATGAACTGAGTATTTTTGTCAACACCACCAAGGAAAACTTGTTTGTACTTGTCTTTGAAGGCAAAGTTCAAAGCCTGAGTTGGGAAGTATCGGATAACATTGGCCAGGTTACCACGCCAGTAACTTGAGAATCCTTGTTCCTTTGGAATGCGAATAAAGCAGTCGACCATACCTAAAGAACGAACAGTTATTTACGGAAATTCAGAAATTTATTTAAATGGATTTATTTTTCATAAACATAAATTCGTTAACAATTAATAAATTAAAACAAATCTTTCATTACTATATTATTAAATTATAGTATCTACACATTATATCAACTATAAATTATTATGTAATAAATCAATAATGGATATTCATTTCATACAAGTATAGATAATTTTGCTTCAAAATTTCCTCTTTGTAGGTTTAACTGAAGAAAAAACTACAGATTTTCAACGTTTAGTCTTAATGATTCTTTCATATTGTCAAGGTCAGAAAATAACTATAATTTTAATTTACATTACAGTATATACGTTAAACAAATAAAACTACTATATCAGAAAACTAACAGCAATGCATAATTCATTTTAAAGCTGTCTTTGCGAAATTCTAATTGAAATAATTCCAACGATACCCGTTAATAGAATACCACGTTTATATTTTACATCTTAGTATCAAATTTCCTATCTTCTCTTAAGATAAACAATAATTATTTTTCGTTCATATATTTCATTCTGAATAAATACGAATATCCTCAAATCCCTCGTGAAAAATATTCATTATGAAAAATTGCAAATTCTATAATTCCACTTTGCAGCAGAAAAGACGGCCATATTGAGCCGCTCAGTCATCGATCGGCACACGGAATCTTGTTCAAAGAGCAAAGCCACGCGCTGCCATCTGGTAGGCGAGTCATCTTATCGAATATCGACCCACTGGTTTGTCAGAAAACCACGACTTCCCATTCAATCGATATCGCAAAAGTTATGTAAGCCCCCGAAAAGTTCATGATCGTTACATAAAGTAGGAAATTAGAGCGCTCTGGATGTACCCGGCTCGCCGCTATAGCACGAAACGGCATTACATAACGGGAATCTCAGTCTAACCGTCGCGTACGAGCTAAACGGAATCGGTTGGCAGTTTCGGAACGTCGACATGAGTGAAATACTTCAAACTGTCACATGTCCCGAATGTCTACCGTTCTTCTGCTGTTACGTGCAGTGCCTCGTGACCCATGCTGCTCGAACTTCTTTTTTTTTTGACTTACAACTACCGGCTAACAAACGGTCGAATATACTCGCGATTTTATGGAAACTCACCCTTGTAACGCTGTTCTTCGGAGATTTGCTTGGAAATGTGCTGTACCTGCAGCAACAGCTTCACACGCTCGATCGGAGCGACCGCCGTTTTGGAGATAGCGGCGGCGATACCACCGGCCGCGAAATCCTTCACGAAAGCAACGGGATCCGCAAGACCAGACATTTTGTGTCGAGTAGTTTAGCGTGTGAGAGAAACGGGTTAACAAAAGGAAGAGGAGAACACCCCTACGAATCGGACGCGCGCCGGACGACGAGTGAGCGAGGCAGAGTTCCTCTCGTTGAACGGACCTCCGCTAAGAATAGCTGCGCAGGTCACGTGCAGACTTCTGCGCAGGTTCAATCTTCTGGCACGACCGCACCTTGGGACCCTGACACTTCGTGCACCTTCAACGCGTACCCTGTTCCCGAATTCGTGACCTTTCCCCGCGTGTCTTGCGACACTAAGCCTTCCTGCCTGTTTTCACGGTCACTATGCGTGTATTGGCTTGATAAAATGCGTCCACGGCCAGCCCGTTCAAAATTAGACGTTTACCCGCGCGCCTGACGCACTTCCGGCACTAGACGCATTAACATCGTCGCTAGTGTCAAGGCATTCGAAATATGAAGGAAATTGGCGGGAATTCATACCAACCGCCGAACAGAAAGGTCTTATGCTTTTTCCACTTGTCACATGACAATGTGTGTTTGTAGTTTACTATAATGATTGAGCGAGTGCAAATAATAATAGAATTCTCAAGGTAATGATAATATTTTCGTTGTCATGTGACACTGTCGAATTTTCATGAGTATGTATAAAATAGTACTAAAATTCAACCTTTATTATATAAGCAGATAGTAATAGCTGGGTTTTATTTAAAGAAAAAATTATATTTCATTGTTTTAATAAATTCGAATGAGTGTTACGGTACGGGAATGTTGGGCATATTTAAAATTCCCGCGTCGCACATCCATCTTTGCTCGTATTCGTTCATTTGCTATCGGGGTACCCTTCTTAGTTACCATACAATTTTGTGTAAAATAATTGATTTTTAGGTTATTATTCTGAAAAATTATTACGAATTATGAATGAATAAATGAATGAAGGAATGAATGAATGAACGAATGATTTGTAATTCGGTTATTACGGACTAATAGCGTTATTTGACAGTTCAAATTATTTATACGTCAAGGTGATATGTAATATATTTCATACATTGGTTAACGTAATAATCGGTTCGATAGAACATTTAACGACAAACAAAGCTTTCTCCAAGGGAGAGAAGCACTATGTCAAGGATAGGAGACATGGCCGAGATTCGTCCAATTTAATATGTATAATCGCATCCGATTTGAGGTGAATACTCCTTGCTATACATGGAGTATTCCACCCAAATCGATCGTTTCGATTCAAGTACCCTTGCACCTATAGTTAGCATTGACCATAATCCATGGCCACGTGCTGTGCATACGTTACGTTATTAATTTCACTCGCCTTTACGGATATCACCTTCCGCATTGTAGGTATTTAATTATCAATTTGCACGGGCATGGAATGCGATACGTAGGGCTACGATATCTCACACGTGTCATACAGCGATCATCTTTGGGGTGGTTTCGAGTTTGCGCTTTCAAAGACACGAGAGCGGGATACAAGGTCAATCTCTCATGAAGAAGGAGGTCAACGGGGCGCGACTTGCGTAACCTTGGCGTTAGGCCAGTATGTTAGGGAACAGAACGCCAGAGTTCAATGGAGTAACTTCAAGTAAGGAGTATTTATACACCTTGAAGATGCGTACATACGTAGTGGACCTTGTAGAGAATAGACTAACTCTAAATGTGTCTCCCGTCTGCATCGGGTACACATCTCTCGTGGCGCGTGCAACCATTTGTCTCGAGAATCAATGAAATGTAAGGGGCCAGGCCCTGCGCACATTAATCCAATTCTTTATTACAATTCGCAACACCGTCGCTGTTACGAATCAGCAGATTTACAAATATATTTATATTTCTGAAGAATAAATACAGTATTACAATATAAGTGTCACGAAATTTTAACTATAAAACAATTTTTATTTGTAAATTTGAAGATGGTCTTGCTACATTTTCTGATGATACATCCTCTTTCTGACTGGATGGATGAGTTCAGGTCAAAAAGAGAGAGAATAAAATAGTATGGAAAGCCCCGAACATGAACAGTTAATAACAATTCTGATTTATATCAGTATATGGTGTCAATTACTCGGGTGGACTCTGTAATACTACCATCATACAATCTCTTAGGCGTTCTCAGAAAACATTCTTATCTACTTTCCATATTAAAACGTTGATCCAAAATCGTTGACCCGGTTTTATCATTACAATACCGATTTGCTTTTATTCATTTACCTCGACGTTTAGATTGCACCAGGAAATTCTGTGGTTATCTGGAGTTCATGTCTATCTTCTGATAATGCTTACGCGAGTATAATTGAAACTACTTAGTTTGCGAATATATTACCTCCTGTTCTATGTATTTTACTACTGCGATCGTAAAATGAAATAACTGTCTAAAATGATATATCTTTTTGAATGATCTAACGATATATTATGTAGCAAAATTGTAACTCATTTCCTGCTCGGCATTACGTAACGTGTACTGCAGTACCAATAGGGCGGTTCTGGCTTGAACTCCGGCGTCTGTGGCAATAATTGAACGACACGTTATTTAAAAGGTTTGTGAATTTCCTCGTCGCGACAGAAAATCAAGTTTGTCAGTGCCTACGTCATCGCGTTGAATATATTATAATATTGCAATACACGATTAGTAACTCAAATGCAGTAACGTTTGACTTGCGGCTCGAGACACGGGTGTGTGGATTGGATTAAATAACGACCTTGATGACATAGGAAGCTGTCTCCACTAGGCAGTAACTGAAGTAATGATGGTCAATGCACCTGAAAGCAGTTCAAAGCGGTTCCATAGCTAATGCAGCTTCACAGTATTGTTGTTGAATAGATACAAAATGTATGGAGTGGACAGCTTCGTAGCGGAAAAGATTTAGGTATTTAATAAAAATTCTGTTCAGTAATTTGTATCAATGTTTAATTACGAGTACATTTATTGCACTCTTCTTAGGGAAACTATGATTGTTTATAGACGGAAAATTACACACTTTTGTCTTTGTCATTGACAACCAGTTGTATTATATAAAAATAAATGTAATCTATTGCTCAAGACACCGTCTAAAAAAAAATTTTAATTTTTCTCTGTATTGCCTAAATAAAACAGCGACATTGAAAATTGTAATCATTGTAAATTGTAAAATTATTGGTAATCTTTGAAATACCAGTTTTCGGCTTCACATGTATTTCATCACTTTACATTTTTAGCATGTCTAGATACAAGAAAGTGAGAGATATTGTAGTATAAATCGAGTTGATCAACTTATAACTCCCAGCAGACTACAAGGTGCTTCATTGTCAGGGTTGCTTCACACATTGGAAGCTACTAACGCCTCATTCTATGGTTTCTATTGATGTTATCTGCAGTTGGTATAGTAGCATGGATCCAATGTTAATTGCTATAAAAATAGATTGAATCGAAAATGGAAATAAATCGATATCTATATTTCGAGAATTTCTCAGAATCTATTGGAATCGCTAATGCCGTTTGTCAGGAACGTTAGGAATACATATTTGTACTTAAAATATATATATATAAAATATATTATGTAACCGCAAGTTTATATCATTTGCACCTAGGAATATTAGCAGATGTAACTTATTATGAGAAAATACAAAAACAATGTATTATCAACATTTTTTAGCAATTTTTTATGATTTAATGTAGACCTAACACCCTCTAGTGGTACCGTGTAAAGTAGATTAAATTAAGGAACGTGCGGAATATGAAACTACGAAGTATACATACGAATCAAGCCGGACATTTATGAAACGTCAGACGTAAAACTAAATTACTATTTTGTCGCATTTTACGGTAAATGAAGTGTTTGTCATTATGAATTTTTTATTTTCTAACGGTTATCTATGGATAATAATAACATAAAGCTAGAGTGAAATCTTTAAATCGAATTATCGCTTCTCAATGATATCACTTTGCGCCTCAGGTTATGGCTTTCCACAATCTATCAGTTTTGTTACGGTTTAATTAAATAATACTTATTGTTCGTTTGTAATCTAATACGATTTCGTGGGAATCAAAAATTGAAGTCTTATAGGTTTGTAAGATACTTGTGACGATACATGAAAAGCAAAATGTGATTGTTACTTTCCAATAATAACAGTTTTTAAAGGCATTATTAACAAAAAACGATGGTCATTGGACATTTCAATAATTGATGCCAAAGTAATGTCGAATGAGTAGATTAAAGGACATTTTATATATACGCGTTTTTATTTGATTTGATTTGCACCTATTTTCTCTTTTTAGAGAAAGACAAATGTTAAAAAAAAAGTCACTTACATAACATTTTTATTGTATTGTTTTAGGGTAAAAATGCTCTTTATGTACAACATGACATTAATGACTATTAATGCAGTCTAAATAGAAGACATATATATCAAAATGACTGAGGGTAAATAAATATAATTACTTATACCTTAATGTTATTTTAAAGGTTTATTATGTCATTTATCCTTAATGTGTATTTTAATGTATGTATTTATTCGGAAAAGGATACAATAAGTCAAATAATTATGTTTTAGGCGGAGAAACACAACCAACTCCTGGGAATGAGGCACAACCCGGTATGTTTTGATTTTTGTAATTAATTTATATAAATTACAATCCTTCTATAAATTTCTGTATATTGATAGTCAGGTATCAAGCTTAATATAATTGAGTTAGTGTTCACTGTAGGCATCTGTTACGTTACAGAATGGGGCTTCATCTATTAGTCTCTACCATCATGCAGAATCATTAGTGTTAGAAGTCAGAATATTCCTTTACTGGTAGTTTTTACACACATTCACAAAAGGCACTTATGTTTGAGAAATATAATTTTATATTTTTATTTAATGATATTTAAGAAATAGCAGAAGTTCCTAATACGTTAATTTTGTATCTTTATTAGAAGCCTCTGAACCTAGAGCCATACATGGCGAAGTATTGCATGAAACAACAGCAGAATCATCTTCTCAAAACGTACCTGAATCATGTACAGATCTACTTACTGTTCATGGAACAACCCAAGGAGAAAGTAGCGATGCTGTTAGCATACATACAGCCAGTACTTCGGTTTCTGGCAATGGTAAATACAATTTGTGTAATAGTGCTGAAAAATTTAATATACGTT